TCATTCAGGCTAGGTTTCTATATTTTGAATTTATTTTTAACTGCTGGGGTGGTAACCAGATGTCGTAGGTAATGTTCTTTTCATAAAATGTACTTGAGCTTTAAATGGCTTTCTAAAAAATTCATTTATAAAACATTCAATAAATAGTTAGCCATATCTCAAGAACTGTGCTGAATAAGTGCTGTCTTCTGGGATTTGGATGTCAGTGGAGATGTCCTTTGAGAGAACCAGAGACTCCAATGTAGAGTGTGTCACTGAGGATTAGGGAGGCACCAGAAGATCCGGACGACTAGTATCAGGGGGGAACATGGAAATGGACAACAGAGCAATGGAAAGGAAAATGTGAAGAAATGAAGAAATCAGACACCTGTTGTCAGGGAAAATATGGAAGGCTTCAGGAATGGGAAGGAGTTAAAGGTGATTTGAGCAAAGGTAGCGGGAGGAGGGGCAGGCATAAAATAGAAAGATATGTGGTTCCTTAGCTAAAATGTACCATCTACTGCCTGGAAGATGTTGGCAAGGTCACTCCAAGGCTTGGACTCTCTGTGTCATTATCAGGAGCATAGGTCTAATGATGTTTATCTCCTAAGGCTGATTTGGGAATAAAACAAAAGAGTATATGAAAAGTGCCAAACATGAAGGAGCTTGATAAATGACTGCTTCTTCTCTCAATTATGAATGCTGTCAGGAGATGGCTTGTAAGGAGTGAGACTGCCAGGGATGTGATTTGGGAAGGAGTTTGAATAGTGTGAGTGAGCTGATAGTGGAAGGAATTAGATACCGGGGGAATGGTCAAGGTAGGAAAGAAGAAGGATCATGAAAAACTGCCAGGAAGAGGACAACAGCTAAACACAGCCAATCTGACCATATTGAGATTGTGTCTGATAAGAATACATGAGAGGGGACAGACTTCATTTTAGCACATTATTGAGACCAACTAGAGATTGATCACAGTACTTTAAAAAGGGCTGACAAAACAGATTGAGCCTTTATGGGCAACTTCTATCCACAGTGAGATGTCATAGTAGCAGTCATCCCTTCAATAATCAGGCCACCAGGAGTCTGGCCTTTCTAGAACCACAACACTGCTATCATAAACAGAAAACCATTGCAATTAGGAGGCTGCCCCACTGCCGTGGGCAATATTGCATTGCCAGAATGATGCTCTCCCAGCTCCTTCCAGTCTCCCCATGGTGTAGTCTGTTAGCAATTGAACACTGGAATGTGTGCCAATACAGCTGCAGAGTGAAACCAAGTGCCCTTTCACTGCTGTGTTTGCTGACTGAGTGGACAAACACTCCCAAGTCCTGCTCATCTCAGTTTCAATAGCTGTAGAGTCCTAGTATAACTAATGAAAGTGTCATATAGTCAAGTACAAGTTTTTGTTTGTTTGTTTTAGGTTGGTCCTTGCTGGCAATGTGAAATATTTCTTCTGGGTTGAAAAGATGCAATTCTGGAAAAAATACTGTGCTGGCTGGTGCATGTCAGTCTTCATTATAAAGTCTTAGAAGACAGCCGTGGGTAGAGTTCGATGCCTACTGAAGGCAGATGGCTGGATTTAAGGCTAAAAACAAGCCAGGGATGCAGTTTTACAGGAATTGGAAGAGAACTGTCACTTAAATCCACCAAAGTGGATGATCACCCCATGGGATACTAAGGAAGATGGGGGCAAAAAGCAACCTGGACAAGACACAAGGAATCTGAACATTTGATCTCTGAACAAGAACCTCTTTCTGGGATTTTTCTTTGTCCTGTGAATGATGATATTTTTCAATTATTCTCCATAAAAAAAAAGAACCGAATCTAGAAAAGATCCAGAGTACTTTGGAAAGGCATAGCGTTAATTCACTCACCATTATTGGTCACACACGGGTACCCACCATGAGGCTTGTACACTGGAGCTCAGGACAGAAGTGTTGAGTGGGTGCACAGAGAAGAGCAGTTCTCACAAGAGATAGAAAGATACTTCAGATTCCCAGAACTAAGTTCCTGTCCTCAAACGTGGTCACTGGGTGTCTAAGCCTTCATTGGCCACGATGAAGCCAGCAGCTATGGGGAACCACTGCTTTCCTTTGTATGGACAACTGACAGTGTAAGGTAGGTTCTCCACAAGGGAAAAAAGTCTCTTTCATTAATACATGAAATAGATAGTGAAACCTTGGAAGTGAATCAAACGTTTGTCTTTATGAGGACGGGTAGAGATATATTAAAACAATGAAATAAATATCTCATGTTTAAGTGAATAAACTAGATTTAAGTATTTTATTTTCTGGTTTGGGCAAACCTTAAAACATTAGTATTACATAAAACATTGCAAGTCACAAAATTTTGTATAAAGTAAATCTTTTATTAAAAAATTTAAAAAGCACACAAAATTGTTCTATATATTCTTATTTAGAAAACAAATGTAATTTTCTGTAAATGAAAGGCAGGCACAGACTTCCAGACAGCAGTTATGACTCCTCAGAGAGGGTGTGGGGAATGCAAGAGGGTGGCTAAGTTCTATCTCCATTTAAAAAAAATTGAAGCAGATGGAAATCTGGAAAAATATTAATAATAATTAAATAAGTTGATGAAGCCTAGGAAAAATATTATGTTTCCTTTTTAATTAAAAATAAATATAAACATATACAAGCATTGCAATTCCCAAAGCAAGAGTCAGGTTTTTCCCCCAGACCTAGGCTAAGCAGATGATATGTAAAACATGACTGGAAAAATATACATACACACATATATGCATGTGTATACACACATACATGTATACCTATATATATGCATAGGTTGAAATTAAACAATAAACTTTATTATTTTTAATCTAAAAAATAATATTGACTTGATCATAAATACCTTTGGTTCTGAGGGTCATGACATTATAGTTCTATCCCTCTTCTGTGACTCAGTTATGGGCCAAATCTACAGAAGATGGAGATGAAATGGCTGGAGTACACAGAGGAGGGCTGAGGATTTCCTGGATGCTAGGGCTGCTTCAGTGTGGGGCTGGAGAGATGTGACCTGAAGCTTTTCACAAAGGCTATGGGATGTCCAAGAAAGCTTGATGAGAAACAACAGAACTGGAGTCAGGGGGCTAGATTCAAGAGATAGGGATTGGTGTCCCCTGGATTTCTATACAACGGGAACTCCACCATGGCAAACTGACCTCACTCCAGAGGTGGAACATTTCATCAACATTTTACACACAATTTTTCTCAAGTTTATGAGGGCATAGTGTGTAAATTCACTGACTTTTCGTTAAGCAAACATGAGTCTTAGGCAGCCTAAGCATCCGGTTAGAAAAGTGATGTGCTTGCTTACATGTGTGTGGTGGTAATTAATTTTCACTGTCAAGTTGACAGGATTTGGAATCTACCAGGAGACACACGCCTGGCTGTTTCTGTGATAGTGTCTCTAAAGAGATTCAACTAAGGATTGTAGACCCATTGTGAAGGAGGGCAACACTATCTTATTGACTAGAATGTTTACTCTCAGACTGGTTAACTGGAGAAAAGGGGGAAGAGAGATGAATACCAGTGTTCATCTCTCTCTACTTCATGACTGTGGACCCAACGTAACCATTCTTCCATATTCCTACTGCCTTGCCTTCTGGCCATCATGGACTGTATCTTTTTCTTTAAGTGTGAGCCAAAATAAATCTTTTTCTCCACTTGTATCTATCAGGTACTCTGTCATATCTATATATAGTTATATATAAGATATAACTATTACAGATATGCCAGAAAGTCCCACAGGAGGCTGGCTAACCCTCAAAAGTGTCATAGTTTAGTTTTAAACTCCTGGACTGTCCACTTCCTTTGTACACACCAGTTGACTTATTAATAACTATTGTCTGTATTTGTTTTCATTTTGCTACATTTCATTTTTTTGAAATGAAATGCCCCACCCCCATCTTCAGTGGTTGGCTTTCTGAGCACAGCTTGACAGAGACTGTTATTAGGAAAAGATCAAACCATAGTAAAAAGTCAGGTACTTCTGCCTAGAGGGCAGCCTATGAAGAATGAAATGGAGTCTTTCTTGCTTTAGAGTCTGAAAGGGGAGAACATTTGCTCGGTTCTCACACAGGTCTACGTGCCTTTTCTAGAGTGCATGTGTTGGTTTAATCTCAGCATCACTTGCCCCTCATTTGAGCACAACACAAATATGACAGATCTCCTTATTCTCTGCACGGCACTCTCCACACCTGATTCTATTTGACCACATACCAGAACTTGACCTGTACCATGCAACTACTTTTCCAATAACTAGAGAGGAGGGGACCTAAGAGGTGGTTGATAGAGACACTTTTCCTTCTCAGTTTTGTTTTTTTGGGTTCCTCTCACATCAGAAAAGCTGGGTTCTCTTCTTTTCCTTTTAAATATTTTCTAGCCTTTTTCTGGAAAATTTTCTTCTCCTTTCTTTCAGAAAAGCTCCTATTTTACTCCATCCTCTCACACAGCACTGGCAGGATGTGCTTTCTTCACTGAAGCATAACTCCTAAGGGACCATACGTCAGCTCGAATGATCTGTCAAAAGTCTGTCTCCCACAGTGCTGTAGAAATCTCAAGCTTGATGAGTCTAAGAGAACTACATGGCCTCTCTGGTCAGGAGAAGCTGTTGCTGTCTGCTGTCCAGAAGCTCTTCTCATTGTCAACAACTTTTTGAGGGTACTTAAAAAACTGCAGACAGGTGAAATTTGAAGCAGAAAATGTCTCCATGTACATCTCAGGAGATAGCAGCAGCTACTCCCCAAGGTGAGAGACAGGATCACCTTGCCTATTATAAGAGGCTGGAGTATCATTTTACGAGGCAGCATGAATGTCTTTATGACCCGCAGAGGTGACAAGCAGACAGACATAACTGGTACCGTCAGTTTCCTCACGCCATGGAAGACCTTCATCTGCTTGAGAAGCTCAATTCAACAGTCTCATCTTCTGAGTTGAAGAAAAATGTTGGGGAAATATAAATCCCATCTCCTACTTTTTCAGGTTCAGACCCCGGAGTTCCAAGGGGAGGAAAAAATAGCTCAAGGTCAGTGAGTTAGTGGTTAAACTGGGACTACTCAACCCCTTCCAGTGCCCAAGTAGGTATCTGTCCACACACCACACTCCTTCTTGGCTGTGCATCTGAAAGAGACTTCACTTTCTATACCATGGGTTTGTATCTTTCCAAAGGACAGAAGGAGAAGTATACTAACTCACATGCTTAGGTTGAGTTGTCCTGATATTTTCTTTTGCCCATGTTTGGACAGATGAAGTACTGTATGGTAGACAACATTTTCACACAGTTAAGAGCAACTATTCAGTCCGAGCTACTGTATAAGAAGACAGATAGCACATTATCAACAGGGAAAGTTTTTGTATCCACATACTGGAAATTATACACATTGACTGATATGGTAGAGTTGACCTGTAAGTAATGTAGCAAGAACTGAGAGAGATTCTGGTAGATTTTCTTGCTTTGAACTCCAGACTCACACACTGTTACCACTGTCTGCTTTTTGACCTTAGAATTGATGAGGAGCTGCAGTGTCAGGTCTACAGAATGATTTGAGCAATGCACAAGGAACTGCAGTTGGCAAATGATGAAGTACCAGCCTGGGAATTGGACGATCAGGTTCCCATCCTGGTATACGAGTCCGTGGATGGTGCCATCTTGGTTCCATGACAGTTTGGTACTGTTGAGATGCTTTGACACTGGGGAGATAGAATTATTGTTCACATGTTAGTTACATGATGGAAATCTCTTTCCCAAGGTTCCCACTCAGCATCTCTGTTTTCTAGAAGGATGCCTGCTATCCCAAATATTTAAACATCTTCTTAAATATTCTTTCTAGAATATTCTTCCATAGCTTGTTTTTTTCTACTTAGGAAGTCACAGGAAGAAAAACATTTGTCTTTCTTTTGTTTAATGCTCAAACTACAGGGTTGGATCAACACACAACACTGCACTGGAAAGCAAAAGACCTTACAGGAGAGTTTTCTGATGGAAGGCAGCACCTATGGATGACTTTCTTTTAATCATTATCTTATATCATTTGATACTTATTAATATTTTTACCATTTTTTCAGCGTGTGTGTGTCTATGTATATATGTGTTTGTGTTAGACTCAGGCATGTATTCAGGTGCAGGTGCAGATGTACCTGTCTGTGTACATGTGCGTGTTTAGCCCAGAAGACAACCTTGGGTATCAGTGTTTACACAGTACCAGTATGCACAGTACTGATTTGCCTACAAAGCCTGAAGAGGGCATCAGATACCCTGGAGATGGAACTATAGGCAGTTTTGAGAGGATGTGAATGTTGGGAAACAAATTTGGGTCTTCTGGAAGAGAAAGTGCTCTTAACTGCTGAGCCATCTCTCCAGCTCCGTAACTTATGTTTTTGATACAGGGATTTTCACTGTCCAGAATCTTGCCCAGTGGGCTAAGCTGGTCAGTCAATGTGCTCCAGGGATCTCCCTACTTGTGCCTTAGCAGTGCTGGCATTGCAAGTATGAGGGACCATGTTTGGCTTTTAAAAAGCAGGTTCTAGTGCTCCAGCTCTGAGCCTCAAGCTTAAAAGTCAATCACTTGACTGCCTACACCATTTCTCTAGCTTCTTGCTTAATTAGACCATACCCACCTAGACTGTATTTTGCACAAGGTCTATGCTACTGTGTTATTTGTCGATGAATGAGCATTTAATGTTTTGATAGGTATTTGTGGGTGGTGTCAGAGCTGTGACATTCAATATTATTCAATTTCAGTATTGAGTTTCTCTATTAATTTTTGCATTTAAGATGAAAAGTATTTTATGTGCATGCATAAAATATCAACAATGAAACTTATTATCACAGGCAATTAATATGTGCTGATAAAAAATAAGATACACTCTTTAACATGGTCTGAATTTTTGAATGTCTCCTTTCTTTAAAAGGCAATCACATATCCTTGGATGGGCTCCTCATGTGCACAGTGAGGGACCCAGCATGTAGGATTACAGAAAAGCAGAGAATTAACAGCCTCAAAGCAAAAATGTTTGTGTGAAAGCCAAGTCTCGAGTCCTAACAAATGAAAGTTAGCACTGACTGGTAAAGGTGCTTTTAGAATTGGGAAGCTGGCATTCTGGTTTTAATTAATTCAATGCTTTCTCTTCAATCCTTGTTGCAATTCAATTGAAAAGCAAGAACTAATGTAACTAAAAAATGGGATTTTTTTTTTTAAATAAGCAAAATGGCTATTCGGAGAATCTTGGCCATTTCTTCCATGGCTCATTCTTTCACATTCTAAGTGCCTCTTACTGTTTCATTTACAAAAGGCTCTTACCTGAAGCACACTGCAAGATGCAAACAGGCCCTGTGCCAAGGAGCTCATTAAGCTGTCAATCTGGGGACCAGGCAATTTTGTAGTTCCCCTGTGAATAACTTCATAGAGGTAGAGATGGAGCTGTTCTTGTTCTTTTTTTGCATTAGGGAAAAGATTGTATTTGGTCCAAACTAGTAAGTTGGTGCATGGTGGTGGGGGTAGTGGAGGAAGGAGGATGTGATACAGTCAAGGGACAAAAGTGTCTTCAAAGGACAGATAGGAAACCTAAAGGAGTGAATGAAGTGGTTCCCATCTGCTGAGGGAGCTTTTGAATATCTTTCCATCTGTACATGGTCTGCCTCCAATATGGACCCTAATGTAGCTCCCTGAAAGCTCATGGTTTTTATGTTTCAACTGTACCATTTCTAACCAAACTCCTCCCCTCGACCCATCAAATGAGGGTTGAGAGAAGGGCCTTGTAGCTTTGGAGAATACTCTCATCTTCTTTCTCTAAGACACTGAAATTCAATTTTAAAAAGTATGATGTAGACTAAGAACACATTTGCATGCCACTTTCAGCTACAAGACTCTAGCTGGGACCTCTGGATTAGAAGTTGGCATAGGACATTCTCTTCATGGGGACATATTTCTCTATTTTTGGCTACTGACCTTCGAGGTAGGCCCGTGACTTCTTGGATGGAATCCTTTTCAGGGTACATAAGAGGTCCTCTGAGCAATTTCCTAAAACAAGATCAGGTATGAGTTGTCTTTTGCTTCTCTGGGGACTGTAAACAACCACATCTTTTTCTGAGACCCACTGAGATGACGTTTACTAGTCTGCTCCTATCTGTGTGGTTAAACACACACACACACACAAACACACACACAAACACACACACATACACCACTAACACCACCACCACCACCCCCCAACAACAAAAAACCCCCCCAAAACTTGTTTTCATTTTGCTGTTAAACAGCCTAGGATTTTCACAGTTCTATAGTTTACTTCTTCTTGGATTGTTACAGAATACTGTACAAGTTAAACAAATATGATCTAGTTCCCACAGCATGCTGGGCACCATTTTTGACAGTCCTCATGAAAGGTGTTATTGAACACCTCCAATAGGTTGAATGAGACTGAGCATCCCATGTCCTTCAGCCTAAACACCAGTCTCCCCAACAGCAACATGGATGCAGCTATTGCTACCCAGTATCTTCTGCTTTTACCAGTACCAGCTAATATGGTTCTCAGCCTAACCCAGGGCCAGCTTTTATGTCTGAAGACACTCAAGGACATACTCAGGGTTAAAAGAGCATGTAGGAATGTGAGGATTCTCTACATCTGCCTCGTCTAGACAACAAAGATGAAAATATCCTACTCAATTTTAAGAGGACAAAACATTAATGACATCTTAGCAGGAAGCCTCCCATCTGGAGCTTCTTTAATAGAGACAAATATACTACTTGTGTCATTATAGCATTAGAGAAATAAAAATATTTTTAATATCATCACTGATGATGATCGCTCTTTCTTATTATAACAAGCTATTTTGTATGCAAAGAACCGAATTATACATTTCCTGCAGTGACTCATGAATTCAATGTATTTGGAGCAAATCTCTTCTCTGGGCCTTGGTTCCCCTATCTGGAGAACTGGAAACCCTCCAACCTAACATTGATATATTTTGATGATGTCACCAGAGATGACCACTCAGCCCATCCTTCAGAGACTAACAGCTTTAAGCTCATGCAGTAGGAGCCATGCTCTGCTGAGCTTCCTTACTATCTCTGAGTAGCATGTCCTGAGCTCCAAGTTTCTTTCTATATCCCATTGTTCAGATTCGAGAAAGTCCCTGGGGCCCAAGAGTGGCTAAAAGCTGAGGGAGTGGTTCCCTCTGCTGTCTGAGCAAGCTCACTACGAGAGAACCTCCCCCCCCCTTCCCCAGCAGAAGTAGGGGCTGTATTCATCTCTAGCTGCTCTTGACTCACAAAGGGCTTTCTGGCCCATCAAAGGCTGAAGGCCAGCTTCCACTCTCTAGATCTTATCCCATAATTATCATCCAAGCAGTGTTCTTCTGAGGCTTGCTGCTGCCCTGCACATACTCATGGGGTATATATAATCTGACCTATGATCCTGAAGTATGATAGTCTAAGGAATTGTGACTGTTGTCCAATCTCATCTTTGGAAGTGTAGAACATCAACCAGAAGAAACCAGAGAGATGCAAATCTTATAGACTCTGATTTATGTTTCCTACAGCTCCTATGGGCTTTTGACTCCTCCCAATCCCTCTAGGCTCAGCCCATACCTTCCCTCATCTCATTTTCCTCTGTGTCTTAATAATAATCAATGTCACTACCACTACCACCATCATAACTAACGTTGACTACTTTTGTGATATTTTGCTGAGCATGCTACAGCCTTGATTTCATTTTTACATTTTTTAAAACCATCCTATAAGAGATTTAATTTTTACAACCATCTAATGAGAGACAGTTTATAGTTATCTCTGTTATACATACTAGAAGTCCTGGGTTTTAAAAGTTTAACTGGGGAACAAGGATGGAGCAGAGGCTGAAGAAATCGCCAAACAATAACTGTCCAACTTGAGACCTTGGGCAAACACCAGTCACTGACACTATTAATGATATGTTGTACTTGCAGACAGGAACCTAGCATAACCGTTCTCTGAGATGTTCTACCCAGCAGCTGACTGAAACAGATGCAGATACCCACAGTCAAATATTAGACAGAAGCCAGGGACCCTTATAGAAGAGTTGGGAGAAAGGACTGAAGGCCCTAAAGGTGATAAGAACTCCACAGAAAGACCAACAGTGTCAACTCACCTGGACCCCTGGGAGCTCTTACAGACTGAGCCAACAATCAAACAGCATACATAGGCTGGACAGAGGCCCCCAGCACATATGTAGCAGAGGGCATCGGAGAGGATGTGCTTAATCTTGCAGAGACTTGATGCTCCATGGTGGAAGGGGATACAGGGGGTTTGGGTAGGGGTTGAGGGATCATCCTCCTAGAGGAGAAGGGGATGGGGGATGGGAAGAGGGACTTTGTGAGGTGGGACCAGGAAGGGTGCAGCATTTGGGATATAAGTAAACAAATAAGGTTAACTAGCTTGTTCTTAGCCACACATCTAGTTGCTGTTAGGGTAGAGATTAAAATTCAGCCAGTGTGACTCTAATGTTCAAACAGATTTCCCTCTACCTCTACTCAAGTTTGGAGGCTTGTGGTTCCAGTTCACAACCACATGGATATGCTTCCACCTGAACAAGTCTGGTTCCTGCCACGTGGAATCCCCTACCTCTACCAAGTCAGCTGTCCTTTGAAACATACCCTGGCAGAGACTACTGTTTAGTCTCTCCTACTGATCAGTCAAGAAGACACATTTGCCAAATGGAGTCAACGAGTCTATCTCTCTTATTTCCTTTGGAAGCTCTGGCCAGACCAGTACTAAGGGCATCAGTGTAGTGAGAAGGGGTGCTTGGCTTACTTTTTCCCCTGGCAAGAAGAACATTGGTCCTATGCTCACAGATTCTGTCTAAGTTAGCTGGGAAAGTAGGATTCTTGTCCTGGACCAAAGCTAGGATGTCACATCAAAGACAGGCTCTATCTCTCTGGTCCAAAGGCCCCTCTGTATCAGGTGGCTTGTGGTGACATCTGTAAGAGCTGAGCATCTGCATACAGATGGTGGCAGAAGTACAAGCCCAGGCTTGTCTCTCAAACATGCAGTTTTTTTCTTCTGTTTTTCCCCTTTGGTCTTCATGTGTACAGTGGGGTGACCTCAGTTGTAATTCTGAGAAACCCAATAATGGAAAAAGTCTATCTTATTTTGAACCATTTGCATTTCCTGAAGTCAAATGGCAGGCATACTTTAGTTTTTCTTAAAGAATTGATTAGATGGTTTCATGCTAAAGAAGAAGCATAGGTTTCTCCTTCTAAGAATGGTATTGTTGGAGCTCGGTCAAGGAGGGACTGGTCATTGAAAGAGTTTCACTGTTGAGCTTGAAGAAGACCCCGGATGAGGGCTCCATATCTGTTACTTCACATTGGAGGTGCCAGCAGAAGAAGAGTGAAAGATGCTTGGTGGGGTTCGAACATCAAAAGTCTCAGTGGCTTCTGAAGGCTTAAAAATCTCTTAGCTAACAACTAACACCTCTCTGATCCCCTTTGTCCCACATGGTACTGGGGCAGATGTACACAGACACCCAAGTTTTCACCCAAGTCACAAAGATGGAAGCTTGAATATTTGGCCGGTTAGTGCTGTTCAAGGAGTGGATTGGCCTCTTTGAAAGTCACAGGGCTCTTGCTAAGACCTAGACAGTATTGTGTGGGGTACTAGTCATGCAGCTCAAGTCTCATCAGCTTGTGAGCCCATGATAAGATAGTCTATTGTGGATATGAAACTTGTGTAGGGTACCCCAGGCAGTTGGGATCCTGCTGTGGCTCCAGAGCTTTGTGGACTGAGCATCTAGACTGTGAACTGTATCTCTGCTATCTGTCTCCCCAGTGACTGAGTCTGAAGGGGCCTATTCTGAGAGATGGAATATGAAAACTCTCTGGAGACGGAGGCTAAGTTGATGTTTGGATATTGGGATTCTGGACTATTCTCTTTCAGACTTTAATGTTCCAATTTAGATGAAGAACACTGCTGACTGAGCTATAGAAATGCCTTTCTAGATCATTCTAGAGCAGTGAGGGTTAAACGAGGGAGAAATGAGTCTGTAGCCATTTCACACACTGCAAATGAAGCCTCAAGACACAGCTAGAGGACGTTGCTGGGAAAGTAGCTCCAGTGAGCTTTCTGGATCCTGCAGTCTGGGAGAATGCCAGGCTCAAGTCACAGGTCGGGAAATTGGGTTTTCAAGTCAGATGATATGTGACCTAAATCCTAGTCAGCTTCTTCAGAACCTCTGCTATAAGGACCAGGTAGATGGTGCTTCTCAGGGAGCATGTGGTTCTAGTAAAGGTGTTAGATCTGTCATTTCCTCTCCCAGAATTTCAGCTACTTACTGTATCAGTGAAGTAAGCACAGTAATAATCAACACAGATGTGTAGCTAATGTGACATACATCAAGATTACAGATGTCAAGGGACTGGCACAGCACATGACTAGCCGTGACTCTGAAAATGTAAAGTCGCTTCTCTTCTTGTCTCTTGTTTTCTTGGCATAGCTCTGTGATGCCATACAGAGAGGACTGGATAATGAGATGCTCACTAAAATGAAACACTGTGCTACCTGTGAGAGTAGACTTTCTAACTTCTCTACACAATTGTTTGAGGCTCTCTGATTATTTTTTTTCTTTTTGGAGGAAGGGAGGATGAAAACCTCTTGGAAATATCTTAATCTTTGAAGAAGCAGAGAGCCCTATACTTTAGTTTCTTTTCCCTTGGAGAAGACCCAGGAAAGTCCCAACAGTGACATCTAGAGGAATCTTCATTCCCAGCAGCATTTGGGATCAATGTGAATCCTTAACCTGGTGGACATTGTGCAAAGGGTCTCTTGACAGACATTCCTTCAAATCTAACCATTTCCTTGACACTACCAGGCCAAGAACATCTATGATATAGACAGAAATCTCAACAGAAGTCAAATGAAAAAGGGAGACTCTGGGTTCACAATAATCCTTGAAAACATCCGCGATAGATAGCATGCTTGTTGTTGAACACAGAGAAAGCAATGAATACAAATGGGCTGAAATGAAATTAGGATTCACATCAATGCTGTGAAGACTTTTGGGAGCTGGAAGCCTGTCAAGCGCTGACCTGCTGTGGTATGTAAGATAAACACATCTGGCTCTAAGGCACTTCATTGCAGTTAATGCATATTAAAGGCCGATGGACCCGACAATGTAAGAGGGGGGTGTTTAAGAAACATCTTAAAATTCTTCTAACATTCTAAATGGCCTTTACTATGCCATGGCTTATTTACAATGTGGAAGTACAGAAGCACTCTCAGAATGTTAGGTTTTGGCTGAGATACACGTGAGTCCAAGTCCCACCCTGGCTCCTTACTGGTTGTATGGTTTAGCACAAGTATGTGTGACTCTATGAGCTGTTCTTTCTTCCTCAGAGTGAAAATAATATACACTTCAACAGCTTGCAGGAGAATTAAATGGAAATAAGGTACAACGCTGAGCCTACTGTATATCACACAAACAATAGCAAATAGTTGGCTCCCCTTCTCTGGTCTGGGGCCTGGGCTACTTGGCTAGCAGAGAATCAAGACCACAGATGTGTCTGGGACTTGAACAGAGTATGAAAAGGAACCACTTTGAGGTCTAGTACTATCTACCTTCTCCCCTCCCGCCCCCTCCCTTTCCTTTTCTTTTTCTCCTTCCTCCAGCCTCTTAAAGTGTAGGATGATAGGCAAGTTGGCATATTCTCTGGAGCTAGAGACTGGGGATTGTATCTAGCAATTCTAGCATCAAATTGAAACCTTTTTCACCTTTGTGTTCTCTCCTCTATCCTGTACCTCATGTCTTTTCCTGCCTCCTCATTCTTTTGGAGGATGTGAAAATTAGAAGTGGTGGCTTTAGAACACTAGATAGCTTATCCAGGACTCAATTCCACTTCATTCTGAAGGGCTCACTTCCTGGGTATTCTCAACAGAGAGATTCCTGATTCCTGTTAGCCCTGCCATGAGTATAAGAACGTGGGTTTAAGAGCAGGTTTTATTGAGTTCAGATTGATTGGAGGAACAAATAGGTTCCTGTGGAAAGTGAAGTAAGTGAACAGCTGAAAAGCAATTTATCCCCACCAGAAACCATCATATGATGCTACAAAGGGGAAAAAGAAAAATGGAAACCAGGAGTTACAAACTGGAGACTTGGGCATTCTGGATCCAGCCCCAACCTTCTGACAGAGTGGGACTCTGCCAGCCAGTGTCCCTGAGGGGACACAGTGTATTCTCCTGAGGGGAAGGGGTTGTGAGGACAAGGAAGGCTGTCACTCCTTGTGCCATATCTTTGCCATCAATGTGACTTCTATACAGCACATGGTCATAGACCATTTGGGTCAGTGAAATACTGGAGAAATTCGTTTCCCTGGCTGTTCAGTTTTCTCACCCTCAATATTTCTTTATCATATTGTCCACCTCATTTCTCCTCTTTTGTTGCCCATTTTTTCCTTTTAGCTTTTAAAGGGTATTAATTTCCTCAGGACATCAAGGACCTCTGGGTACCATGGGCCGCATAGAATTTGCAGGAAAAAAAGCAAAACAAACCAAACAAACAAAACAAGAAAAACAAAACAAAAACAAAAACTCCCAAACCAACAATTTTTTCTAACGACAGGATATGGAATCACTCCAGGTCACACGATCCCCTCAAGCATGCCCCAAAGCACCAGTGACCCTTTCTGTCCCAGAACTTAGTGAGAGAGTATGCTAGCCCTTGAGAAGTTCCTAGTGGCTGAAACAACTCCAGCTTTACAAAACGGAGCCCCAGAGGTCTCCACCCCCTGCTGGAAGACACTGTACCATACTGCCCTGTCAGCAGTTTTTAAAAGTCTTACATCCTCCTGCAGATATTGCTATACAGAGATTCGAGGTTTTGTTGGGTGTGGGGCTGGAAAGCTGTGTGACCAGAGGAGCTGGTCCAGAGCAAAAGTGAGGTTGAGTTGTGTCCAAACCCTGAAAATTTTGTCCTGAGAGGAGCAGGAGTAGGACCACTTACTCTTTGCTGTGGGCCTGCATGTTCAGGCACATGTAAGCCTTACAACCCTCACCTCCACCACCCTTGAGGTAGTCACATAGCCTGCTGGCCAGATTATAGGTTAAATTCGTCTTACCCTACAAGAATATGTCCTACAAGCACCTGGGATTTCTCTTTATGCAGATGAAGGATTCCACAGCACCTCAGCCTCAGCCAAAGATGTACACTCATTCCACTTCCAAGCTTCTACCCACTTCCCAAGGGTTATATGGTCCTTGTTCTTCCCCAGTAAAGAGAGCTGTTTCACTGAAAACGGTCTCCGGAGAAGGCTGTTTCTCCTGATCTCACTCAGTCTGAGATCCTATCTAACCTACTCCCCCTGGCTAAGCTTCACTCCTCCCAGTCCAGCTCCATGTGCAAAGGTGCCTGGAGGGGAAAAGCACACCCAGGGTGGAAGTTGGAACTCCTGGGAAATCCAGGTAAAGGGAGCTGTAATCTGAGATTTGAACAAATGAGCCCAGAGCATGAACAATGTTAGAGAGTTAAAATTCAGTGGAAGCAAAACATTAGAACAAGAAATGACGAGAGGATGCAGGAGCCTTGGCTCTAAGCTGTATGTGGAGGAGGTGGATCTATTGTTTAACGGAAAATGGAAGAGCAAAATGGACCAGATGGATGCTCTGAGTCCAGACAAGTGGGAAAATGTAGCTATATTTTTGGTTCCATTTCATGTTCATGGTAGCTCCCTGCAGGAAGCATGGTACTCTGTCTGCCAGAGGAAAGAATAAAACCCAGCATGAAGCATACAGGACAGACAGATTTGCCTCCCAGCCTTCCAGCTTGTTCATGGATCCAAATGAACGACTAACAAGTCTCAAGCACAGTGGGCTGAGTGCAAGTCAGCAGTTGACTGGAGCCTATTCTGCCCAGGAATGACAAGTTTGTGTTAGGGCTCATTACTAACACGGGTGTGGTTTTCTGTGGTTTCCCTGTAGCTAAGGATATCCTGTGCTGGGCTACTACCTCGGCATGTGTGCAGAGCCCTGCATCCCAGGCTGTGGTCAGTGTTGGTTTCCTGGTTACAACAGCTGTCATGGCAGAGGGCTCCCAACCTTGTGGCTTTTGTCCTTGTGACAAACCTCATGCCACCCCTGGAACTTCCTCCCAGGAATTTCTGGAAAGTAGGTCTGCCCTGTCTGATGTCTTGCAACAGTGTTCTCCTATTCCCTGCCTGCTTCTTTCCTTTTCCAAAAGGGCAATTTGTTTCTTGAGTTGGCTTAAGATTAGTTTGTTGGTAAAAAAAAGTTGTGGCTTCAGAATTTCTTCAGACAATTGTCAGGCTATTTCTTTCTGTCTTTATATATAGGACAAGAGAATTCTAGTCTCAGAAAGTGTCCAAGAACTTTGTTAGTGTGTGTGTATATGTGTGCATACACATACATATTCATGTGTGTATACATGTGTAGAGGCCAGAGGTCAACACAGGGTGTTTTCCTCAATTACTTGCTATATTATTTCTTAAGACAAGGTTTATTACTGAACTCAGAGCCTTCCAGTTTGGGTAGGCTGCCTGGCTGGTGAGACCCAGAGACCTTCCTGTTTCTGTGTTCTCAATGCTTGTATTATTGGTATACACAGCTGCTCCTGCTTGTTATGTGGGTGGTGGGGATGTGACTCAGGCTCTCATGCTGCACAGGAAGCATTTACCTACCTACAAGCATGATTACTACAAGCATGGTAACTGCATGACTGCCTTTCAGCCAAGGCATGCAAATCCTAGAATATTTACTATCTACATATTTGTAGACAGTGTCTGTGGCCTTCTACACTTTACCTTTGTTTTTGATTGCATAACAGGTTATCTACACAAGTGAGGAAATAAGACTATATACTAGGCCCTAAGTGCTTTTGGCCAATATTGAGGTTGTTCATCAATCTTAAAAGGTTCAGAAGGCTCTATGTCCACCAAGGGCTCTTTGCCCATACGTTCTAAATCTTCAGTAGGATGCCCTGAAGGAAGGAAACTACAAATGTATTGCTCCTGTAAGGAGCTGTGTCAGTTCTTTTGTGTCCTCTGGTCCCAACGATGCCTAGCATCTTTACCCTGGTGTCCATGAAGGTCTATCTACCCATCTTATCTCCTTCCATTTCCTCTCTTAGTTCTGTGGTTAGGCAGATGTGCTTGGTACCTTGGCTCTGAAAATTGTGAGTGGAGCTAAGGTAGGGATTGATATTTTGAATATAAAGACACTGAGTCAGAGTCAAGGACCTTTTGGTTTAGCCTGTATGATCAAAGCCGGACACTTCATCCCTCTGTCTATTTTCATAGGTCTTAAACTTTGTTAGGTATTTTGGCTATTACTAGTTATTTAAACATTAGTTTATGCTGGTTGTCATGCCAAGCAGTTATGAGCTGGCCCTGATTGGCTCATCTAGAACCACAGTGATCCATGTTTAATGGATGTATTAACAGAGACTTCCATGTGGGAAATGGTATCAAGATTCATTCATTCGCAAATTTATTCAGTTTTAGGGCTTCCAGCTCAAAAATACAAGGCTGTTTTGTGTCCCTGGCAGGGTCCTCAGCTTGGTGACAGCAATGTTGTTGTCAGTGAGAGTGTGACTGGCAGGAGGGAAGTTTGTGTGGATTAACACAGTGATCAGGGTCTACACAGATGAGTCAAAAGCATCAGCTCATGTCGATCAGCCTCTGCTTCCATCTGTCCCACTCCTGTTGGGGACAGTCACAGAACTTCTGGTTGGTAAGTAGGCGTCACACCTTGTGGTATCACCTGCATGATTCACTACACATTCATTCCTAAAGATCTTACCTCCTTTAAAGGGGACTGTCTCCGTTGTTTTTGGAGTGGAGTCCTGGAAGGGAAGAGAGAAGAGCAGGGTGAGGACAGGGCTGAGGTAAAACAACTTAGCTTCATTTTTACCTTGGGAGTCCTCACAGCACTGTGCAATTTAGAACCCACCCACCCTTTGACCCTTAAAGTGTGATTATTCATTCATTGATTCATTATAGTGGCTTCCTATCCGTGCCAGCCTACCTGTCTACCAGAAACACAAGATAAATAAGGGTTACCATCCTCATCTCACAAACAAGAAGCAAGACAATATGTCTTGTCTGGGGACACCCAACGAGCTTGTGGAGCTCAGGACCACAGAGGGAACTTCCACCTCCCAGTCAAGAGCTTCCTCCTCTCCTCATATAGTGCTGTTTTTCCCCTTTAAGTCAACATGTGATCAAATGAAGTGAATAAATGTGCACACTTTCTTCTTTCCGTATTTGGTTCATCTAAGTGTTGTAAACATACCTGGAAGATATCTTTCTACCTCGGTTGTGGTTGGAAATTGTGATGTTTTTATTAGTGTTTATATTCCAAATATTGGGATGATGTCACAAGTAAACTGGTTCTCTGACCTCATGGATTTATTGCAAGCTTATGGCCGGATATAATTTGCAAATATTCGTAAATATGCAGCACAAACAGAGGTGTATTTGTTTATGCATTCACATAGTAGTACAAATGACTTATATAATAATCATAAACGTCTACATAGATTTTTATGTAAATGAGTAAGAGGAAACATTGCCTGCTAAGAAGAAACTGTGCTGAGGGTCAGAGGGGATTAAAGAGAAAAGTAGTTAGTGTGCTCTCTGAAGGTGGCCCACAGAGATGGAGGGGCACTGGTTCTCAACAGATTCCTCAGAGACCAGCTTTCCAGTGTTCCTCTTCACCTGTCAGCCTAGAGAGGCATATAAGCAGCTGTTCACAAAGGAATGGGATGCCACATTTACCTTTTGGCCTGCATAAGTCAGTTACCTCTAGTGCACTTAACTGAGATAATTATAAACATTAGAAATGGGTGAATATTTTCATGGGAAAAATAGTTTCCCAATGTCTACCAAAGCTGAAAGTTGACAACTAACTATATCTGACTTTCTTAGTGTTCTGTGCAAGAGCTGATGACTATATGGAAGTATCATCTCAATTTACATCCCCAAGAGCTCTGTTATTCTCCTTCTGTGGACACACTGTTATCTGTAAAATAGGTATTTTCTCTAACTCAAGAGGTGGCATTCAGGAATACAGCTCTGGAGGCCTCAGGAATAAAAGCTTTGGTGTCACAACTAATCTAAGAAAGTTTATAACTTTGGATCTCAGTTTTTTTAAGGGGAAGGGATGTGAGGTTGATTTGAATGATACTTTCCCCTCTGTTTGTTTTCCGATTATGTTGCCTTATTTCCTGAGAGTTCTAAATGTGTGTAACAGTGCTTTACATCTGTGATTGCCTGATTACCCATATGATTCTTAGGAAAACCTGACATCACAAAATTCCCCTTTATGTTGCCTCTATGAGACAACAGCCAGCACTTCAAAACTTATTAAGCAGCTGGCTCAATGCCAAGCATGACTTTCGATTAGCATGATGTGCAAACACACAAAGAAAGGCATTCCCATTTGGATGAAGCCTAACAGGATTGAATGTGCCAAGAGCTCCATATCCACCTAGACGCCGGAGTGACTAACAGAAGAGCAACACCAGCAGAGCCATCCCAGTAGCAGAAATGCTAAAGAATCGCTCGTTTAGCCTTGGATCATCTGTGGTGTACATTGTGTCACTCGTTAAAACATATGCTATGGACTTGGTCCATTAAAACAGCCATTTGAAAACCACTAAGAAATATGGAATCAGAAAAATGAGTATAGCACATGCAGTGAAAGGATCACAGTGCTTAAAGAAAGAATTTCTGAAGCTTTAATGCTGAGGATTTCAAGCTGCAGCAGGTTTGGGTACAGCTTGGGTTGTCATTATCTCTCACAAGTCCTCAGTTGATGCTTCTGGCTTCCAGAAAAAACCTTTGATCATCAAGGATAAAAGAGGTGTATCTGGGAGGAGGACCTAGATGTATGTAATGGCATGGGGTCACAGAAGGGAAAGCCTTGCTCTTGCCTGTCAAATGAGAGTTCTATCTCTCCAGTGCCAAAGCACTGGCAGGGGATCCTGTAGCTTCATCTTTTACCTAGGTTCCAGGGAATTCAGGATAGAAGTCTGATTGTTCCTATGTTGAAGAACACAAAGTCTCTACAGCTTCCTATGGCTACCCATAGTAGATATGATTCCATAGTCAAAGCAAGAGACAAACCCAGATATCTTACAGATCATCAAGTTGATTTTATAAGAAAGGATGCCAAGATACTAGAGTCTGGGGCCAATTCTGAACTAAAATTCTTCAGTGAACTTTCTACTTGGCCAAAGACAGAACCGTTCATTATTCTCTCCTCCTTATTCTCAAGCAGCCCTTGAGTTTGAGGATGGAGAAGCAAGGCCTAAGGACATGACATGATGACTGCTTACATTTATGAGACATGATGATGACTGTTAGAATTTGTTAGATTGTTTAGACCTGAGGCACTATGCTGAGTGCTGTCTGTAAACTCTTTTAATAAACCTAGCCCAGGGAATTTTAGACCTTGGCTGGGGAAAATGAGAACTATCGTGCTTAGTGACTTGGCTTTGAGTAAGGTAGGACACAGACTTGACCTACATGCAAACAAATGGCTTCCCCCAGGCTGTCATCTCATCTCCATAGTAGCTCTGGAAAAACAATCACCATGGTTACCAAACCCTGCTTCATTTCCTTAAGTATACTTTCTCTTTTCTTACAGCCTTTATGGACATCTGATGGACATTCCAAACAGTACTAGAGTTCTTTCTGTGTAATGGAAAGAATGGCCATGCATAGTCTGTTTTTCTCCAGGTGAAATGAACCCCCCCAACCCAATCATTAGCTTAGAACTGTATTTTTCTCTCCCTTAATTACCGTGAGTAGAACTCTGGACAGTGATTTCTACTCTGGGCTGTTGCAGTCATAACAAGATATGGTATGTAAATGACTAGCCATTGTTTGAAAATAGTAGCTATTTGAGAGGGACTGCTTTGAGCCTTATAATGTATTTAGTTTGTCATAATTCCCCGAAAGGTCTGCTTGCTTTCAGAACAATGATGTGGAGGGTATGGAACAAATGTGTGTAAGTTCCTGTATTTGCTTTTCAAACAAAGTCCTTTGTTACTAAATTATCAAGACAACTAAAGTGTGGAATATTCAATGGAGAATTCCACATCTGTTTCTTTTCTGACTTTCATTGCCTTAGAAGGTAGCTTGCAGCACGTGGAGATCTCTACTATCCTTAAGCTAAGACGATTAAACATCTAATTCAGGTTACTCTGGGAACCAAATCCTTTCTGGGCCTTATTGTATTGGTCTTTAAATGGACATCAAGAATTAAGAGTTGTCTAAAACACAGAGCAATGACTTAATCATGACAAAAGATGCTAGAGATAAGAAAGTTGGTCATACTGTCTGGAAGGCCAATGAATCTGTAGCATTGTCTCTCTAGATTAAGGTAGACAAAACAGCAGTATGTTCTCCCAAGACCCAATGAGAGAGTGAATGGCAGTCATAGGAGACCCCAGGGAAAGTATTTTTACTAGGAACTCTTGGTTTGGCAGGTCTGGGATTCGGAGCAGTGGCCTAAACAGTGTTTCTCTCACTTGCAAGGATATATATATATATATATATGAATGATACTCATGAAAATAGGTATTCTGATTCAGTGGATCCGGTACAGGCTCTGAGGTGTTCTGATTGTAGTCAGTCTCCTGTCTGGTCCATCAGCTACTCTTTGAGTAGTGCTGACTTCAAGACATATTGCAATAGACAAGTAGGTTGGAAAATTGCTGCAGGAAGTTGTTCTCAGATGTGAGATTAAGAGTTTTTTCTTTTCTAAAGATGGAGTTGGTAATTTGTCCTTTGGGCCTCCTTTATCAATGAATGTTGTCATCTAATCTCACTTCTTGGTATGTCTTGGTCTTTTCAAACCCCAATAACTCTCACAATCCAGTTTCTCTTTCTCTGGGCCATGCCTCAGCTTATTGTCTAGCTTGATGGGCTCCATGTCTGCCTGGTCCATTATCATAATGGAGAGCTCATCTTTATAGAAGAATATAGTTAGTGAGTCAAGCAGATGACAGCATCTACTAACCCTCCATCATCAATCCTCAGGGTGTTAAAGGGTTCAGATAAGGATCATCAAGAAATGCCAGACTGCTGAGTAGAAGACATTCATGACTTTAGAGTATGTTACACAATAGATTAGATATTCATGAAAAGAAAAATTGTTGCTACCTATCCCCTTAATGAAGTGTCTAAACATATAATTATGTATAACCAGACATGTGTCCCTAGTTGCTATAATAATATCAAGAATATCTCTTTAAGGGAGTTATTTATGTCCTTCTTAAAGTCCTCTGGAAATCAGTTTGGCAGTTCCTCAGAAAATTGGGCATAGAATTACCTGAGGACCCAGCTATACCACTCCCAGGAGTGGTATATGCCAAGGCATATACCCAGAAGATGCTCCAACATACAGCAAGGACACATGCTCCACTATGTTCATAGCAGGCTTATTTATAATAGCCAGAAGCTAAAAGAACCCAGATGTCCTTCAACAGAGGAATGGATACAGAAAATGTGGTACATTTACAGAATGGAGTACTACTCAGCTATTAAAAACAATGAATTCATGAAATTCTTAGGCAAATCCATGGAGCTAGAAAATATAATCCTTAGTGAGGTAACCCAATCACAAAAGAACACACATGATATGCACTCACTGATAAGTGGATATTAGCCCAAAAGCTCGCAGTACCCAACATACAACTCACAGACCATATGAAGCTCAAGAAGAAGGAAGATCAAAGTGTGGGTGCTTTGGTCCTTCTTAGAAGAAGTAACAAAATACTCATGGGAACAAATATGGAGACAAAGCGTGGGACCGAAACTGAAGAAGGGACTGTCT